CACTGTGAGCCAGGGTTAAGAAATCCCGGGCACTGTGAGCCAGGGTAAGAATCCGGGGCACGTGAGCCAGGGTAAGAATCCAGGGGCACTGTGAGCCAGGGTAGAATCCCGGGGCACGTGTGAGCCAGGGTAAGAATCCCGGGGTCACTGTGAGCGAGGGTAAGAATCCGGGGCACCTGTGAGCCCAGGAGTAAAGACATACCCGGAGGCACTTGTGAGCACAGGAGTAAGAATCCAGGGAGCAACTGTGGAGCCAGGATAAGAATCACAGGGGCATGTGAAGCTCAGGTAAGAATCCCGCGGCACTGTGAGCCAGGGTAAGAATCACACGGGCACTGTGCGCCAGGGTAAAGAATCCCGGGCGCAACTGTGAGAACTCACAGGGTAAAAAGAAATCCCCGGGCACTAGTGATACCAGGGTAAAAGATCCGGGGCACTGTGAGCCAGGGTAAGAAATCACCGGAGGCACTGTTGAGCAGAGGTTAAGAATCCCGGGGCCAACTGTTGAGCCAGGGGTACAGAATCCCGGGGCACACTGTGAGCCCAGGGTACGAATCCCGGGGCAATGGTTGAGACCAGGGTAAGAATCCACCGGGGCAACTGTGGATCCAGGGTAAGAATCTCAGGGGCCTGTGTACGACAGGGTTAAAGAATCCCGGGGCACAGGTGAGCCAGGGTAAGATCCCGGGGCACTGTGAGCCAGGGTTACAGAATCCGCCGGGCATCTGGTGAGCAAGGGGTAAGAATCCCGGAGCACTGTGAGCCAGGGTAAGAAATCCGCGGCACACACTGTGAGAACCAGGGTAAAGAAATCACCGGGGCCTGTGAGCTCAAGCGGTACAGAATCCGGAGCACCTGTGAGCCAGGGTAGAATCCGGAGCACTGTGAGTCCAGGGTAAGAATCCCGGAGCACTGGTGAGCCAGGGTAAGATTCCCGGGTGCCACTGTGAGCCAGTAAGAATCCGGGGCACTGTGAGCCAGGGTAAGAATGCCACCGGGGCATGGTGAGCCCAGGGTAAGAATCCCACGGGGCACTGTGAGCCAGGGTAAGACATCCCGGGGCACTGTGAGCCAGGTAGAATCCCGGGGCACTGTGATCCAGGGTAAGATCCCGGGGCAACTGTGAGCCAGGGTTAGAATCCGGATCACTGTGATCCAGGGTAAGGAATCCGGGGCACTTTGTGATCCAGGGTAAGAATCGGGGCACTGTGATCCAGGGTCAAGATCACCGGGGACACCGTGAGCCAGGGGTAAGAATCCGGGGCACGGTGAGCAGGGGTAGCATCCGGGGCACTGTGAAGCCAGGGTAAGAATCTCCGGGGCACTGTGAGCCAGGGTAAGAATCCGGGGCACTGTGAGCCAAGGTAAGAAATCCGGGGCAGCTGTGATCAGGGTAAGAATCCCGGGCACTGTGATCCAGGGTAGAATACGGGACAACTGATGAGCCGGTAGGAATACCGGGCAGCGCGTGGAGCAGAGGTAAAGAATCACCGGGGCACAAGTGATACCAGACGGTAAGAAATCCTGGGCACTAGTGAGCCCGGGTAGAATCCCGGGGCCACGAAAAACTACAAGTGAGCCAGGGTAAGAATCCCGGAGCACTGTGAGCAGGGTAAGAATCCCGGGGTACACTTGTGAATCCAGGCGTAAAGAATCCCGGGGACTGTGAGCCAGGGTTAGAATCCCGGGGCAACTGTGAGCCAGGAATACAGAATCCGGTCACTGTGAGCCAGGGTAAGAATCCCGGTCACTGTGAAGCCAAGGGTAAGAATCCGGGGCACTGTGAGCCAGGGTCAAGCAATCCCCGGGGCATGTGGCAGGGTAGAGAATCCCGGGCACGGTGAGCCAGGGTAAAGATCCCGGGTCACTGTGAGTCCCAGTGTTTAGAATCCCGGGGCACTGTAGCCAGGGTAACGAATCCGGGGCACGGGTGAGCCGGGTAATAGAATCCCGGGGCACGGTTTGAAGCCAGGGTAAGAATCCCGGGCACGGTGATGCCTAGGGTAAGAATCCCGGGGGCAACTGTGAAGTCAGGGTAAAGAATCCGGGGGCACTGTGAGCAGGTATAGAATCCCGGGCACTGTGAGCCAGGGTAAGAATCGCGGGCACTGTGAGCCCAGCAGGTTAACGAATCAGGGGCACTTGTGACTTCAAGGGTAAGACATCCGGGGCAACTGGTAGATCCAGGGATAGAATCACGGGGCACTGTGATCCAGGGTAAGAAATCAGCCGGGGCGGGTGTGAGCAGGGTAAGAAATCACCGGGGCCCAACCTGTGAAGCCAGGGGTAAGAATTTCACGCGGGGCAACGGTGGGCACAGGGTAAAGAATCCACCCGGGTCCACATGTGGAGCCCAGGGATAAGAATCCCGTGGGGCATGTGAGCCAGGGGTAAGAATCCACTGCGGGCATGAGTGAGCCGGGTAAGAATCACGGGGGCACGGTGGCACGGTAAGAATCCGCGGGCATGTTGAGCCAGGGGTAGAATCGGGTCCACTGTG